TTTAAATAATTTTTTCAGCTTAAATGAACCCATTTTCTTATTTTGCACTACATTCATAGTGTTAATCTGTATTAGTTTCTTTTGTATATGAGATGAAAGAAATTGGGTAAATTGCTGAAAACAGAAAAGGGTTGGGTTTGTATTGTTTGAAACACATTAATATGATGTTGTAACTGTTGGAACCCATGAAATTTTGGTGTGATCAGTAGAGAGGATAAGGCTCTTGGCCATTTCAAAGTGCTGAATGGTTTTGATCTGAATTTCTCATGATGTCCTCGAGTTTAAACAAGCTAAAGCCAGAGTTTATGGTGCTTCTTGAATTTTCTGTTGGTTTAGACACTCTAGTTTTCAATTTATATAACTAGTGATGACTCAATCAATTGATTAGTTTGCCTCAGTCTCTACTTTGTCAACCAAGCATAGCCAGATCTCTGGAGGGCAAGTGTCCATACGAAGCTCAATCCTAATCCAAGACACAGAGTCGCAAGACATGTAATAGATGCTGCACTGATTGTTGGACTACCCTATCTTTATTAGCTTCAAAATTTGATTTATTTTATTCGAAGTTCCATATCGTTTCAAGTTAGAAAGTAACTACGTAAAGACAGAGGACTAAAAAGGGAATAACATTCCTCCCACTTATCACCAAATGGTGCAAATAAAAATTTGATGACAGACCATGTAGCTTGGAGCTGTTTTAAAACGAGTCGAATTGGCTTAATAGGTATAAGCTTGTATACTTCCCAATTCTTACAAATGTGCATATATTATTGACAAGATATTTTCCTTGTGAAGTGGAATTTTTAAAATCTTCTCCACATGAGCATCTAAATTTAGAAATATCATATTACAAAGTAGTTGTATTAAGCTACCAAGAAAGTGTTATTGTTTTATGTTTGGTTCAGAAGAAGAAGCGTAGTTTACCAGATTGTCTTGCTGCAACATGATTTTTTTTTTTTCCTTTCTTTTTGTCTGTGCTGAAAGTGTTTAAAAATGTAATACATGTTTGTTCTGTAATACATGTTTGCTGAAAGAGTTTAAAATCTTCTGGATTTTCTTCTTAAAATGTAATACATGCTTGTTTTATGCACAAGGAATTTGTGGATTCGATTCAAGATGTTCAAAGTATAGTCAAGAGGGAAGGATATGGAGGACTTATGAGGGGTTGGATCCCCAGGATATGCTATTCCATGCACCTGAAGCTGCAATCTGCTGATCTACCTACGAGGCTGCAAAAACCTTCTTTCAAAAAACCAATGGCAGCGACAGCTCAGTTGACTAAGGTGGCATTAAAGTCTTTTTTCATATCCGCAGACACTCTTAACCTCGAAGCAATTGCTTCACCCTGGTTGTAGTAATTGAATAACACATAACGTAAGCACCATTGTCTCAAACTTGCAGCCCATAGTGATGCTGGTTTAAGTCATATGCAGAATGATTGGTGATCACTGCATACTATGCAAACTTATTCTTCTCAGATCTGATGATGCTTATGATAAATCAATCGGGATAGTTGATTTGTTCGCCCAGGAGTTGTAATTTGTATATTTCCTGGATTTGGAGCTTTTTAGTAAGCCTTTTATGATGCTGCTCTTTTGGTAGTGCTATACAGAAACTTGGCTGTTCTTGAACCTGAGTAATCTGATTTACTGGATTTTGAGCTAAAAAGATTTATATATTAACATGAAGGCGATGATACTGATACAAAACCAATGGCTTCTAATGCTTGAAAAGAACTTTAAAGCAATGGTAGAACATATGAGCCTAGTGGCATACTGAGAGTTGCACTAGCTTTGCTGCGCTCCATCTAATATTCAGAATGAGAAAATGAAACACCGGGCCTGCGAATGAGAATCTGAAAATAGGAAATAGATACTGCTGTGGTGGCCTTTTATACTCCAATTTATTGGTATAAATAAAATAAAAATGAGCTAAGTTCCAGTAAGCACCAGTGGTCTAGTGGTAGAATAGTACCCTGCCACGGTACAGACCCGGGTTCGATTCCCGGCTGGTGCATTACCTTTTTTTTGTCTTTCATTTTTCCTTTTTTGATCTTTTTTAAACTACTCGACCACACAAAGCTCCTCCAAATCTCATTTTTTATTACTTTACCCACGAAAAGTTGAATTTTGTTTTTGTTTTTATTTTTATGACGAGGAACCGTCCCAGAGATGGATCCATTCTTGCCTATTAAATCCCGAATATTTCTGATTATCTGAAAAGCATATATATCAGTTTAGGCTGGAAGATACTAACAGAAATAAGACTTAAATGTGGTGTTTGTTTGGAAGGATTCATATAGGACTAATAGTTCATCCGGACTAATAGTCCGTTGTTTGATTGAAATTTTTTGTATCGGACTATGAATCTCAAATTTATGGAATTATTTTATCCCATGGGGGTGGGACACAATCCATAGGATAACTATCCCATGGGATTAGGTAGTGAAATTACATTTTTGGCCCTCTACTATTTAATATCTTTTTAAAAATAAAATTTATTTATTAAATTATTTATACTTAATTTATTTATTAAATTATTTATACTATTATACTTAATAAATTTATTTATACTTAATAAAATTTATTTATTAAATTATTTATGCTTTATTAAATTATTTATTTTGATAATATGGTATTAATTATACTTAGTAAAGTAAAATAAAATTTAAAAATCTCAACTACAAATTGAAATAAATTTACGTAATTTTTATTAATATTTTATTTATTTAAGTTTTTAAAAGTTTTAGTAAAAAAATAAAATAAAATTTATAATTCAAATTTAATATTCTTATTATTTAGTAAATAATTCAAAAGGGAAAAAAAATCTTTTGAGCATTTATCATTCAGGATTTTTTTTTTAAGGTCCCTGATATTAAGATTTTATAGCATAAAGGATACTAAATATTTTCATAATGTCTAAAGTTCCTCAACATCGATCCAAAAAAAATTCGATCCAGAGAATTCCTCTTTATCTACACAAATCACAAAGAAAATTCTAAATTTCTCTGGACATATCACAAAGAAAATTCCAAATTTCTCTGAATACATCACAGAGAAAATCCAAATTTCTCTAGACAACAATGAGGACTAGTGCTCTATTTCAAAGAAAATTGGGTTGGTCCAGAGAAATTCTTAGAGAATTTCATATATATTTTTCCAAAAATAAATAATGATTTCATATATATTCAACCCGGAGAATTTCTCTGGACTTCCCAGAGATTTTCTTTCCAGAGAAATTCTCTCCAATTTCTCTAGGCTTCCCAAAAAAATTCTCTATGTTTTTGACCAATTTTCAGAGAATTGGGTTGGTTCAAAAATATATATGAAATTCTCTGGTTTCCAAAAATAAATTATCTGATTTGGACAAATGCCAAGAGCATAACTTGATCTTGGTTGGGAAACAGTTTCTATGTTAAAAAAAGGTAATTCTTATTAAATTGCTTTCTTTCTACAAATTGAACATGCAAAAGATGACAAATACATATTAAGGAAACTAACAACATACCACCACAAATCACAAAGAAAGGAAAATAATACAAAATAGTATCTACCTGAATGACAACATGTTACGCACTTTAGGAGCACTAGGTATATTCATAAAGAGAGATGTAGCGAAGAATGAAATATGTCTCCGAGCCTCCAAATTTGAGGGTATGTCCATAGCTATATCTTTGACAATAAGTAGCAAAAAAAAAACGCTTGATCTGCCATCCAAAGATTGACAACTTAATTACATGTATTATGTGTTGCAAGCCTCTGACATGTCTTTTGGTGTGTATATGCACATAAATTTGTCTTATTTACAACATAAATCATAATTTAAATGGCCTTTGAGCTCAAATTTAGATTTATGATTTTGACCCAAATATCAAATCAAGCCCTAGATGCCAATATTGTAATCAAAAGTCCAACGAAGAAATATCATGAAAAGATGTAAATAGAATCACTTGCTCATTCATAAGGCCACTATCTGGCAACGGGAAATGTATAGAATGATTTGACGCAAATTACTCTGGTTCAACATGGCCGAAAAATTCAATTTCCTCTACCTCTATTTCTTGTTCAGAGTAAAGTGAATCCAATATTCTGCATCCATTGCTAATGAATTTTGGTAAATTGAGTACTATAAAATGATGTATACATATGGTTTTCTGTACGGGAAACTCGCTGCTTGTTCTATCTACATATCAACAAGCTTGCTTTTCCGTGCAGAACTGGACTGCTCTCCAAAAACCCAAAGTTTATGCTCTGGTTTGGATTTAGAGAGAGAGAGATGAAATAGAGAAGGCAGAGAGAGAGAAATGAGATTTGATGTGAGAGAGTCAAATTTCTCTGTGATATATGAGTGTTGGGTTGAAGGACCTTAGACATCATAAAATAATATTGTGGATCTCTTCCATTACTAAAAATGGAGGAGGGACTTTAGACTAATTTTCCCCTTATCCTTCTTCATAATATCCCAAACAAACATATAATTCAATAGAATAGTCTAATCCACACATCTAATCACATGACTAAACAAATATAGAATACAAATCCAATCAACCCAAATAGTCCGAGGACAATGCATCCCAAAATTAAGTAGATTACAATCTTTCCTTATCTAGTCTGTCCAAACATACACTACCCGATTTAAAAAAATGATAAAAAAAACTCAGCACCTTTTCTCTTCTGCAAACACACTCCTGTTTAAGAATTGTTCAAAATAAACATAGGAAAATGCTAGATCCTAAATAATCTATCAAATTTTCAATCAAACCTCTCACATAGATATGGGACACACACAAATCTACGTGTTTGAATCCTCCATACTCATGTGAGAGATTTGATAAAAAATTTAATAGATTATTTGAATTCCTAACATAACTCAATAAATAAACTAGTTTCTATCCGAGAAACTGGCTATAATCCTCATTTACTGTGTTGATTTTCATATGGCCATGATCCAGCTCAACATTTCTGTTAAAGAATCTAATAACACAGACAAAAAACCAGAAATCAGAATATTGATGAGGAATGTATGCAATTGACTGTCAACAAATCCACATATAAATAAATAAATAAAATCCAAAGATACCATAGTTCGAAATTATGACATTTATAGCTACAGAAACCAACAGTTGAGAGAGCTCTAAAACAGCTGTTACTAGCTTACAACAATATACTCATTCAAACATCCTAACCATCTCAGAACTTATCTACACTAAATCCATCTCTAAGAATCTCATAAGCATCTCTAGGCCTGGTTTTCTTCATCCCTGCGGTGAAATGGAGCTTTCCTCCATCAGCTGAAATGCACGTAACTTTCACCCAAATCATCACCTTTGTCTTCATCCCCTCTATATCAGATAGCTTCCCTTTCTCCAGATATCCAGTTACAGTGGTTGACAATCGCAAAACAGACTTGTCTCTGTATCCCACTTCACAAATCGAGGGTATGTAGACAATAAGCTTACCTGTCTCTTCATTGAACTCGTAGTTGGTAGCATCCCGAGGGAAGATACCTACTGCCATGTCATACTCCTTTAGCAGTTCTGGTAGTGGCTTTTGCATTTTCCCTGCGAAGAAACCATGTTTCATTGATTAACGTGGTGCTCATACTACCCATGTAAACTTCTAGAAATTGTCATACGGAAATTTGAAAAAAAAAGAACAATGTAGAGACAAAACTAAATCAGAATGACTTCTTTGGAATGGTTAGGTTTTGCACACATGTTCAAAGAAACTCCAGTGGCAGACCACACTATCTCAACTCAACTAGCTCATTTGTCTACTTGAAGCATTTAAAATTTCCTCAAAATAAATAAATAAAATTGAAAAAAATTAAAAAAATGATTTAAGTTATTCTCTTTGAACTCCATTTTGTTTTCCTGTAGTGGTTGTCATTGCCAATCAGAGGTTTCATTTCATGATCACTCACATCACATCTTATATGTTGCTCCAGCAGGGGAAAAAAAAAAAAAAAACCTAGTTATGTTCTCAAATCTTGTCTCCAACAGACTGTCTGTAGTCTCAAATCACAATTCTCAAGTCCCACAGTTATTACAAGTCTACAAAAACTTCATTGGGGAGGTCAGGTTTGAGTTAATGAGGTAAATCACTTGAATTGTGATCCCGATGCTACAATCCAAATGAAATTTGCAATGGTTGCCTGCTAAGATTTGTAATGGTTTAATGCTACAAGGCCCACAACACATTGAGATGATTATAGTTTTATAATTGGTGAAACCAGACAAGATTATGATGGATCCGACAAGTAATTATTTATATAGCAAGCAACAATAGAAATGCAAAAATACTAGAGATCTCAAAAATTATACCAAAAGTTCTACCAAATGTCTCACATTAGTATGGAACCCACATGGGACCTACATTGTGTGGGTGTTGAATTTATTTTCTAGTATGGCCCAATAGCCTACATATATCTATATGTTTTAATTTATTTGGACTCCATAATTAGATAAAGCCAATATTTGAGATAAAATTCAGTAATTAAAATTTTAATATAATTACTCTTCTAAGATAAGAAGGAAATCTTGATGAATAGGAATTCTTCTGATAAAGTTTATCTGGCCCTCTTCTCTCCTCTATATAAAGATGGGTGACTCCCCTTTTATATTATGAATATTTTTCGATCACTCTAAGTTTTATAGTCATCCTAATTAAGAGAGATAGAGAGAAGAGGGTGAGTCAAGAATTAAAGGTCCAACTATTAGGGGTATTTTCTCAACTTCTCTAATTCAATGGCTGACAAAGGTATATTCTTTTTATTCTTGAATTGTATTGAATTCAAGATCCTGTAAAGTTTAATTCCGCATTATTATTATAGTTACATGTACATTAATTTCGTACATGTGGTATCAGAACTTTAGTTTTGTGAATCAATACACCTTGGAATAATAATATATTTATGAATATTATTATTATAATTATTTATAAAACAGTGCATCTATTTTTATTATCAAAAAGAAGATTAACGATATTATATCTTTTGCCCATCAAAAAAAATAGATTAGATTTGGCAATTGACAAAGCCTTTCGTTACAAGTTTTCAATATGTACACATATTTAAGTGAAAAACTAAAAGAGAACGATGCATTAGGATATTTAAAAGAGAACTGTTGATAAACGTGTAACATGCATGCTTCGATTTATTATTAATTTTAGCAATAATAATTTTTATAATCATTATAATATGACATTGAATTGAGTGTAATATTTATATTACCTGCCGTTATGATAAAGTGCATAGACTAAAAGCAATTTTAGAATTTTGTTGAATCCTTCGGTCTATTAAATAAATATATTTATTTGACTGTATCATGTTAGATAATTATATTTTTACCTTGTCTGATTATGTACACTTATTGCCTAATATTGTTGATGTTTATATATTTTCATGATTTAAATTTGATAAAATGAAATTTGCAATGGTTGCCTGCTAAGATTTGTAATGGTTTAATGCTACAAGGCCCACAACACATTGAGATGATTATAGTTTTATAATTGGTGAAACCAGACAAGATTATGATGGATCCGACAAGTAATTATTTATATAGCAAGCAACAATAGAAATGCAAAAATACTAGAGATCTCAAAAATTATACCAAAAGTTCTACCAAATGTCTCACATTAGTATGGAACCCACATGGGACCCACATTGTGTGGGTGTTGAATTTATTTTCTAGTATGGCCCAATAGCCTACATATATCTATATATTTTAATTTATTTGGACTCCATAATTAGATAAAGCCAATATTTGAGATAAAATTCAGTAATTAAAATTTTAATATAATTACTCTTCTAAGATAAGAAGGAAATCTTGATGAATAGGAATTCTTTTGATAAAGTTTATCTAGCCCTCTTCTCTCCTCTATATAAAGATTGGTGACTCCCCTTTTATATTATGAATATTTTTCGATCACTCTAAGTTTTATAGTCATCCTAATTAAGAGAGATAGAGAGAAGAGGGTGAGTCAAGAATTAAAGGTCCAACTATTAGGGGTATTTTCTCAACTTCTCTAATTCAATGGCTGACAAAGGTATATTCTTTTTATTCTTGAATTGTATTGAATTCAAGATCCTGTAAAGTTTAATTCCGCATTATTATTATAGTTACATGTACATTAATTTCGTACATGTGGTATCAGAACTTTAGTTTTGTGAATCAATACACCTTGGAATAATAATATATTTATGAATATTATTATTATAATTATTTATAAAACAGTGCATCTATTTTTATTATCAAAAAGAAGATTAACGATATTATATCTTTTGCCCATCAAAAAAAATAGATTAGATTTGGCAATTGACAAAGCCTTTCGTTACAAGTTTTCAATATGTACACATATTTAAGTGAAAAACTAAAAGAGAACGATGCATTAGGATATTTAAAAGAGAACTGTTGATAAACGTGTAACATGCATGCTTCGATTTATTATTAATTTTAGCAATAATAATTTTTATAATCATTATAATATGACATTGAATTGAGTGTAATATTTATATTACCTGCCGTTATGACAAAGTGCATAGACTAAAAGCAATTTTAGAATTTTGTTGAATCCTTCGGTCTATTAAATAAATATATTTATTTGACTGTATCATGTTAGATAATTATATTTTTACCTTGTCTGATTATGTACACTTATTGCCTAATATTGTTGATGTTTATATATTTTCATGATTTAAATTTGATATCATGATATAATTTTATGACATTAAATATTAAATATTGAAGTGGTTAATTCATATTAGGTGTAATTCTTATTGACTATTAAATGAGATATTCATGATTCTAATATTGCATAATTTAATATATATATATATATATATTCTTGTTCGTCTAGGGTTATTATTATTATTATTATATTGGTAATTGCAATCACATAAAAGAAATTCTAGAAATCATAATTAGTGATTTCATTAAAATAGTGATTGAATTAATGATAATCAAATAACTCAAATTAATGAATAGAGAATATTGTTAGTTAGTTCCGTATACATAAGGTTTACTAATTTAGTAGCTGCTAAAGTAGCCTAGATTTGTAAAACTTATGAATATAGAATTACATAAAAGAATTGTTAAAAGTGTAACATTAAGGTCGATAATATTCACAATTGCAATTATAATTAGAAGATTGAGACTAGCCCAAAGAAGAGTCACTTTCAAATAGTTATGAACTGGGTAGGATAATGTAACTTATGTAATTTGACAGATTAAAATTGAATACCCAAAAGTGTTGCATAAATTACTTTAGACCTACATAAGTGATTCTTGACGAGTGGACAATAGATATACCTAAGTTTTGCCCAAAGGAAAGACTTATGTGATATCAATAGTTCATCTTTATAATTTTCAAAACTTTAATATGTATATTGTTTATGCCTATTTCCGCATTACTTATGAGACATTGTGCTAATACTTCTTAAGATCTGTCAAAAAAATAGCTTGCTATCTAAGGTGGTTGGACTTAGAAGGGAGGCTATATTGACTCCTCCGACCTTCCCAGGATCTTATTTGGTTATTAACCAAAGGACTCTTTAGTGACGTTACCCTAACCCTTAGAATAAATATTTGGGGTGTCACATGTTCTATCTTATTTCAGTGAAAGTTCTCACCTCATTGCACTCTCTTGCATCGGGCGTCCCTCTACTTACTGTCGCTATTATGGCTGAATTGACAAAGCTATAAAGCTTAAAACTTTAGGGATGCAAGTTGATGAAACTTTCCTCATGCAGTTTATTCTCACCTCACTTCCATCACAATTCGGCGCATTCAAAATCACTATAACACCAATAAAGATAAGTAGAGTTTGAATGAGTTGGCTAATATGTGTGTTTAGGAGTAAGTGAGGTTGAGGGAGGAAGGACATCAAACTGCATTGGCTGTAACTCATTGAGCTATAAAGAAAAAGAATGGGCCTAGGGAAGAAAATCAAGCTCAGAATGGTTTCACTGTCAAATGCTACTTTTGTAGCAAGCACGGACATGTGAAGAAAGACTGCAACAAGCGAAAGGCTTGGTTCAAAAAGAAATATAAGAAATTTTCTTTTATTTGTTATGAATCAAATCTTGCTGAAAAACCTTCTAACACTTGGTGGATTGACTTTGGGGCCACAACCTACATTTCAAATTCCATGCAGGGATACCCCTCAACTAGAAAACCGAAGGTTTGTAAAAGATTTGTTTATATAGGGAACCGTCTCAAAGCTGAAGTTGTAGCTGTAGTAACCTATCGACTGATCTTAGATACGGGTCATCAGATGGATCTACAAAACACTTTTTATGTTCCTTCAATTTCTAAGAATTTAGTTTTGTTATCCAAATTAGATCTTGTTGGATATTCAGTTTTATTTAATTGTGGAAAACTCAATTTAATGTTTAATTCAATAATGATTAGTTCTGGTAATTTATGTGATGGTTTATATAAAATTACCTTCAATCATGAGTTTGCACAGTCATTAATAACTCTGCATTCGAATATTTGTTTAAAACGTGGTCTAATTAATGAAAAATCCTCAATCTTGTGGCATAGACAGTTGGGGCATATCTCTAGAAATAGAATTGAAAAATTGGGTAAAGATGGATCTACAAAACACTTTTTATGTTCCTTCAATTTCTAAGAATTTAGTTTTGTTATCCAAATTAGATCTTGTTGGATATTCAGTTTTATTTAATTGTGGAAAACTCAATTTAATGTTTAATTCAATAATGATTAGTTCTGGTAATTTATGTGATGGTTTATATAAAATTACCTTCAATCATGAGTTTGCACAGTCATTAGTAACTCTGCATTCGAATATTGGTTTAAAACGTGGTTTAATTAATGAAAAATCCTCAATCTTGTGGCATAGACAGTTGGGGGCATATCTCTAGAAATAGAATTGAAAAATTGGGTAAAGAATGACATTTTGGAAAACCTAGACTTCACTGATTTTGAGATATGTGTGGATTGCATCAAAGGAAAGCAAACAAAACACACCAAGAAAGGTGCCACAAGAAGTAATGAGCTTCTTGAGATAATTCATACAGATATTTGCGAGCCACTCAACATCCCATGTCTTAGTGGTGAAAAATATTTCATCTCATTTATAGATAATTTCTCACGCTATGGATATATGTATCTAATTCATGAAAAGTCTCAAATTATTGACATCCTTAAGGCGTACATAACTGAAGTCGAGAGACAATTAGATAGAAAGGTTAAAATAGTGAGATCAGACAAGGGTGGTGAGTATTATGGTAAATATGATTAGTCAAGCCAAAATCTTGGCCCATTTGCCAAATTCTTAGAAAAGAAAGACATTCGTACTCAATATACAATGCCAGGTACGCTACAGCAGAACGGAGTTACTGAAAGGCATAATCGTACACTTAAAAATATGGTTAGGAGTATATTAAGTTACTCAATTGTACCCATTTTACTGTGGGGTGAAGCTTTAAAGACTGCAATATATATCTTAAATAGAGTTCCTAGTAAGGCGGTCCCAACAACTCTTTTTGAGTCGTGGACTAGTAGGAAACTGAGTTTGAGACACTTACATATTTGGGGTTGTTCAGCAGAGGCAAGAATCTTTAACCCACAAAAGAAAAAGTTGGACTCAAGAACAATATATGAATATTTCATTCATTATCCAGACAAGGCTAAAAGGGTATAAATTTTATTGTCCTAATCACAGTACGAGGATAGTGGAGACTGGTAATGCTAGATTCCTAGAGAATGGTGAAATAGTGGGAGTGAGAAAACACGAGCGGTGAATTTCAAGGAAATTAGGGTGGATGTGCCAACATTTGACCCTTATCGAAAAATTATTGTTCCTCCGACTATTCCACTGGCTAAGGGAAACGAACAAAATAATGAAAATCCTTCACCACCTTCTGTTTCACTACTTCATAGAGATACCACTATTGAAAATATTGTAGAACCACCACAACCGGCAGTTCTGAGAAGATCTCAAAGGGAAAGAAAGCCTGCCATTCCAGATGATTACATGGTGTATCTACATGAATCTGATTTTGATATTGGGATTAACAAAGATTCAGTCTCATTTTCACAAGCCATGAATAGTGATAATTCTACTAAATGGGTCAATGCTATAAATGAAGAGTTAAAATCCATGAAATAGAATGGTATTTGGGATCTCGTCGAATTGCCTAATAATTGTAAAAAGGTTGGGCGTAAATGGTCGTCAAGACCAAGCGCGACGCAAAAGGCAATATTGAATGATTTAAAGCCAGACTTATTGCCAAGGGTTTTACTCAAAAAGAAGGCATAAACTATAAAGATACCTTCTCTCCAATATCTAAAAAGGACATGCTTAGAATCATCCTCGCATTCGTAGCTCATTATGACTTAGAGTTGCATCAAATGGATGTGAAAACTACTTTTCTAAATGGGAATTTGGATGAAGAAATTTATATGGAGCAGTCAGAAGGATTTGCAAAGAAAGGTAAAGAACATTTAGCTTGCAAATTAAAGAAATCCATATATGGCCTTAAACAAGCTTCTAGGCAATAGTATTTAAGATTTAATGATACCATTACCTCCTTCGGATTTAAGGAAAATGCAATTGATCAGTGCATATATTTGAAGGTTAGTGGGAGTAAGTTCATTATTTTGGTGCTATATGCGGACGACATTTTGCTAGCTAGTAATGACCTTGGCTTATTGCATGAAACCAAGAAATATCTCTCAAAGAACTTTAAAATGATCGATATGGGTGAGGCAAACTATATTATTGGCATAGAGATCTTTAGGGATCGATCTTGAGGATTGCTAGGACTATTTTAAAAAGAATATATTTATCGTGTTTTGGAGAGATTCAATATGCACTTTTGTTCAGTCGATGATGCACCTATCATGAAGGGTGATAAATTAAGTGAAAAACAGTGTCCAAGGAATGACTTGGAAAGAAAATAAATGAACGACATTCCATATGCTTTGAGGCTACAAATCATGCTTTATGGTTGCGAAATTCATCGCAGGACTTGGTGTTGTTGACTCAATTGCCAGGCCACTGAAAATATATTGTGACAATACCGCAACAGTTTTCTTCTCTCAGAATGGAAAGTACTCTAGTGGTTCCAAACACATGGAAGTAAAGTACTTAGTTGTTAGAGAAAAAGTTCAGAAACAACTAGTATTAATTGAAAATTTAAGCACATCTCTTATGATTGTTGATCCATTCACAAAGGGATTGCCACCAAAGACATACAAAGAGCATGTTATTAGGATGGGTCTTTTAAGCAACCCATGATGTGTATGGATAATCTTGAGTGCTTATTTTTTATTTGACACTATTTGAGCAATAATAATTTTGTTTCTATTTTTCCGGTTTCTAAAAGTGTGTGTACACATTAATTTGAATTAGGGGTGAGCGCGGGTCGGTTGCGGCCACGGAACCTCCAATCCGCCATCCGTCCGTCAAATTGACGGATTGGAGAAAATCAATCTGCATCCGTCCGCCAATCCGGCGGATGTGGATTGAGCGGATTGGCGGTTTGGCAGATGGATGCGAATCAGTTTGACGGTTTAAAATTTTATAAATTTTTAACATAATTCAACTCGTGCATTTCCTCAAAAAAAAAAGAAGAAAGTATTACAACCAATGACTTAAAAAAATATTACAATCACTGCATGCCTCATCCAAAGCAAGAAAGTTTGAAACTTTAGAATATCACAATCACTGCATGCCTCATCCACATATTACAATCACAGCATGCTTCATCCACATAAAGTATTACAATATGTGGTTCTTAAAATATAAAAGTAATTCAAACCATCAAAACCATGAACAGAACAATAGTAGAAATTGTATGTCTCTGTATTGCTACATCTATATCTGTTTTTGAAAACAAAAACCAACCAGCATATATCATATCTTCTATTTATTATTTTTAAAGATAGATTTAAAAACCAAAAAATATAGATAAATAATAAGTTTATTTTTTTTAATTCAAAAAAGATATTCAAATTGAAAATTTTTTTCAACAGAATATTTAAACTCTTTTTTAATTGAAAACACAAACAGAATATTTAAACAAACTGAAAAGACAAAATCTTATAAATTACTAGGGGTGCTCGTGGTTTGGCGGTTCGGTTGCGGCCAAAGGAATCTCAAATCCGCCATCCATCTACCAGATTGGAGAAAATCAATTCGCAACCGTTCGTTCGTCATCACGCATCCATTCAAAATGCGGCGGATCGGTTCGGTTCGGTCAGTTTTGGCGGATCGGTATATCCGCTACTCACCCCTAATTTGAATATTGATAAACAGGAAATGTCTTAACAAGATAAATTACAAAATTACAGGGGCTTTTTAGGCAAATAATTACATATTCCAATAATGGACTGGGTTGGTGAAGGTTATCGATGGTGTAGTGCATAGAAGGAAATATGACATAAATGTCATATTGGTGATCTGAATTAATCACAGGATTATAATTTCTAATATATCTGAACTTATTGGCTATTTTTAAAATTCGTGATCACGTGTCAAAATTTTTAGTGTGGAATCCAATGAGTCAAAAATTTTATAAATTGCATATTTTTTGGAAAAACTCATAATTGTATCATAATCGACTTAATGGGCCAAGTAGAAGAATGTTGGATTTATTTTCTAGTGTGGCCCAATAGTCTACATATATCTACATGTTTTAATTTATTTGTACTCCACAATTAGATAAAGCCAGTATTTGAGATAAAGTTTAGTAATTAAAATTTAAATATAATTACTCTTCTAAGATAAGAAGAAAATCTTGATAGATAGGAATTCTTCTGATAGAGTTTATCTGACCCTCTTCTCTCATCTATATAAAGATGGGTGACTCCCCTTTTATATTATGAGTATTTTTTCATCACTCTAAATTTTATAGTCATCTTAATTAAGAGAGAGAGAGAAGAAGGTGAGCCAAGAATTAAAAGTTCAACTATTCGGGGCATTTTCTCAACTTCTCTAATTCAATGGCTGACAAAAGTATGTTCGTTTTATTCTTGAGTTGTATTGAATTCAAGATCCTGTAAAGTTTAATTCCGCATTATTATTATGATTACATGTACATTAATTTCGTACAGTGAGTCTCACACCCATGTGAAACATTTGATAAAAACTTTGATAGAATTTTTTAGATCTCTGACATTACTCATAGAAATGACATGTTCAATTTTAAAAACCATTTTTGAATATTGCAGACGGAAGGGAATATTGCAGAAGAAAAACAAACCTTTGAGTTTGTTAACCAACCATTTGGCTCCTCCTTCAATGCTAGTTGACAATGACTAATTATAAGAATAAAGGTCAGTATCAACTTGAAATAAAATGTTATAATAAGCTTGCGAAAACCAAATGTAAGAACACACATGCTTCTCATACACATTAGAAAATAAGTACTGAATGTGGGACTAACGAGTAATTCTAGAAGAATAAAAAGAGTTAATTATCTTTTCCCTCGGCTATCAAAATTACTTTATCATTGCATGCACTAAATCATTTAAGATGTTTTGGAGAAACTGCCTATACTTTTTACTATCTGGTCACAGTCTATGCATTCTGTAATACATCCAATGCGAAGCCTTAACAAACTATACACGTCCTAGAGCATCATTGTGCATTGCTTAAACTGCATCTTAAATTCTTCTCTCACTCCAAGAATCTCTGAAAATAAAGATGGCAAACTTTTGTTACTTATTTCCAAAGATATTGCAACCCAACCAGCCATAAAGACCCAATAAAAACACCATATGGGTATGGCAATGTTCACAAGGGTTCATGCACCCTTTGATATTATTTTGGTTAATAACCAATTATGATCAAGAACCTTGACTAGTCACTCTTGAAATTTAAATGGCTCAAGTTTGTAAAAAAAAAAAAAAATACTAAACATGTAGAAAGCGGAAACAATCCTCATTTTTATAAAGCTTAAACCTTTGTTACCTTAAACAGCTGTGAGATTACAGCGATACCCAAATAGATTAAGAAGTAAATAAAAGCTTCCTTTGAATTTTCAAAAATCACTTGCAAGTTGCAACAGTGTTTTGAAATAAATATTTAAGCAATCCTCAAAAGCTTCTGAATTGCTATGGTAGTATAGATTTCAGTGTCAATCCCCCTCCTGATGGGTTTATTGCACCAGCTAGGAACAAAAAAACTAATCTCAATTTTTTGCCCTTTAATAGATTTCTTTATACTAACACTCCGTTTGCATGAGAAGGGGATATGAATGGAATTCCTTTGCCTTCCTCGGCATTTTATTGGGCAATTTTGGTATTATAAATATTTTACAACCATTTTTCACTCAACCTAAACATGGGAAATGAATTCTCTTTCTCACCATTTCTCACTAAATCATGTGTAACTCATATACAACTAAACCCAACTCACAAGGCTAAGGTAAAGTGTGTACAGAGATTTCACTAATGAAGTAGTTTTCCCTAAAAATTGAATGTGAAAATTACTTCTTTAAACAATTTCGAGCATAAACTAAACGAAGAAAGCAATAACAAAGAAATTTACTGAGAAGGATAGAATTATGGCATAAAAACCACCTATTCAATTATAACTACAGTATTTTAGGTCATTTCAAGCTCCATGGTCAATTCCTTCAAATCAAATTCCCAAAATTTCCCAAGTCTACAAGATCAATCTTATAAACCCTACCTTAGCTCCAGATTGGGAAAACCAAATCAAAGAAACAACTTTAAGACCAGATCACCATAATTGATGTGAGAGAGAGAGAGAGAGTACATTGATGTCATCTCCGACTGAGTCAATCTCGTTGTTGGCTTTCTGACCTATCCAGTAGGATCCGACCTTGTTCAATATCTGATCCATTTGTGTGTGCGCGCGTCTCTCTCTCTCTCTCTCTCTCGTATATGTGTATGTATAGTTTATCTCTCTCTAGATTGAGCAAAGATTGCTGGGAAAATCAAACAGAGATAGAGAGATAGAGAGAGAGACTCTTCTCTGCGACTTTTCAGCCTCTGGTTTTGTCATTAATTTTGTTCCTTCGTTAGGTAGAACTCACGCGGATAATTATTCAGTAATCCGGAGGGTAGACAGATGTATTTCATCATAATATTACGATTGGTTGAGGAAGTAGATAGTGAATTGTGTTAGGTAATTGAAAAATATAAAAACATATATTAAATTATAATTGATTAAAAAATACAAACACGGGATACTTCTAAAATAGGATCTGTTTGGTAATGCTTACGTTTTCAGTTTATATTTACAAAAATTTTATAAACTGGTTTTTGTTTATTTTTTATTTATTTTTAAAAAAACATAAACAACAAATGCGTTTGGTAATTGACAAAATGTTTTAAAAAATTTAAAAACATAAAAAAAGAGTAAGAAATGGGAAGTGGTGGCAAGTGGCGGCGAAAGACGGTGGTAGAAAGTGGTGACGGTAGGTGGTGGGTAGCGGGTGGTGGTGGATGGGTGGAGTGATGGGTGGGTGGGTGATGGTGACGAGTGGTGGGTGGTAGCGAGTGGGTAGTGGTGGTGGTGGTGGCGGCGAGTGGTGGGTGGTGGTGGCAGGTGGCGGGTGGTGGCGAGTAGTGGTGGTGGGTGGGTGGTGGTAGTGGTGGTGGTGGTGGCGGCGAGTGGTGGGGGGTGGTGGCAGGGGGCGGGGGGGGGGGGAGGGGGGGATGGGAGGGGGGGGTGGTGGAAAAAGGGACAAAAGGGGTGCAACACGAGGACTTCCCAGGGGGTCACCCATCC